TATATTTATTAAGTAATTTGACATTTAATAGATGATCAGTTAATTTTAATCTCTTTTTCTTAATTAGTTTTCCTAGAAACCTTGATGTGGTTGAGAACGTGGAAGGGAAACGGGGGAAAAGTAGAAGCAATATAGTGTTTCATCAAGGAAGTATCTTTCTGCTCCAGGTACTTTTCAATGGTCCTGAGCAAACATTAAATAATTTAAGTGGGTCAGTTGCACTGGGAAAAGCACACTTTGATAGATTTAGTCTCTCATTTTAGAGCCAAATCAACAAGAGCCCTTTACAAGGATCTGAGGATCAATTATGAATGTTTTATGTTTCTTATTAATTTACTTGTGTGGCTATATGGCCCTTAAATTTTTCCTATAGTTTTTTTTTAATGTTTATTGTGAATTATGTGATTGTTTACATGGGAGAACGTTAGCTTTACATTCATCCTATCATATTTCGTTTCATTGCCATGGTTACCATCCCCTCCATATATTATCAAACAACCAAAGGGTACACCCTGCAAGACTGTTCCTCTGTCGTCAGCACACAGCCCCTCTCCCTTTCTGAGTCTAGAGTCCCCAGCTGCTCCATCTCTTCATGTCATTGTCTCTGCCTCCATCTCTGGCATCATTGTTTCTCTGGGTAGGGTCCCACACCCCACTCTTGTCCCTTAATGGTCCCAGAACCCTCCGCTCCTGGACTGCAAAGTCAACCACTCCCCTCCTTTTGCTACAAGACATCTACCTTTACATTTCCAATCCTCACAGTCAGTCCTGACAGCAATTATTCACTATTGTATCACAAGAGACCTATCCCCATCTCCTTTCATCAGCCCCGCCTAGACAGATTGGATACTACTCAGTAGAGATTCTACCTTCCTCCGCGCCCTCTGGATCTAGGTTCCCTCTTGAAAGCTTATAAGACAGTCACTTCTTGCCTTTGTAGCCCTCCCCATTTGGGTAGCCAATATCCAAATTGCCCATCCCTGTATACTCTGTGTATGGAGGGTGTGGGAATGATCCTCACTGTAAAGATTTGTTCCATCTTTAAAGCTGTTTGTTTATTTCTTTATTTTAAATTTTTAAAAAAAATTTTTTATTGTGGATTGAGTGAACATTTACAGAGCAGATCATCAGTTTTACATTCAACAAATCATACACCTTGTTTCATTACAATGATTATAATCCCCTCCATGTACCATCAGTTAACAGTATTTCTTTCTATTCACTTTAGCTTTTTTTAAAAAAAAACACTTGGGCATACATAATAATGTTTACCTCCAAAGGGCACATTCTGCAGGTCTGTCTTCTGGCCACCAGCTCTTAGTCCTTTTCTTCCCATGAATCTAGAGTTCTCAGCCACTCCCCATCTCCATGTTCCCATCTCTGCCTCCGTCTCTGGCATCGCTGCTTCTCTGAATAAGGTCCCGCAATCCGCTTATGCTCTTCTCCCATGATGGTCCTAGGGTCCTCTGTTTCTGGACTGTAAGATTAACCACTACCCTGTTTTTGTTACAAACTTCTACCTTTACAGTTGCAATTAGTCCTAACAATTATTCACTATTGAATCGTACAAATCTTATTCCCATCTCTTTTCGCCAGACCCATCTAGACAAGATGAAAACTATTCATTGGAGACTCTTTTCCACCCCCACCCCCCACCATACTCTTAAACTAAACTCCCTCTTGAAGCCTTTTAAGCCAGGTACTTCATGCCTTTATCATCCCCTCATTCTAGGTAGCCAATGTCTAAGCTGCCCGTCCCTATCTACCCTGCGTACAGAGGGGATAACATTGATACTTGATGTGAAGACTCCTTCCCTTTCTGTTGGTATTTAGAGTTACTGCCTCCATGAGTATAAGGAGCTTTGGTAGCGTAGTAGTTACAAATTGGGCTGTGAAGCACAAGGTCAGCAGTTCAAAACTACCAGCTGTTCCACGGGAGAAAGGTGAGACTTTCTAAAGCTCCCGTAAAGATTTACAGCCTCAGAAACCCTGTACAAGGTCACTATGAGTCAGAACCGACTCCACGGCACATAACTACCACTACCACCACCTCCATGAGTATAGGTCAGATTCATCAAATTGTAGCAATTTACCCTTGTTTACTTTAATAAGGAGTTCTGGTAGCATAGTGGTTACGAATCAGGCTGCAAAGCTCAAGGTCAGCAGTTCGAAACTACCAGCTGTTCCGCGGGAGAAAGATGAGGCTTTCTGCTCCCATCAAGATTTACAGCCTCGGAAACCCTGTATAGGGTCGCTATGAGTCAGAACCGACTCCACAGCACATAACAACAACAACTTTAATAATAATAATAAAAAAATTTGTAATCTTCTAGTCGAGTTCTGTTTATCAAGCCATAGAGGCTAGCTCAAATGGGTACTGTCTGCAAGTTTGGGTGTATAGTTTTTAAAGTTCAGAAAATGCAATCTGTTGGCTAGCTAAGTGAATGAAATGCCATGTTTGTTGCTATCGTTGCTATTTAGAGAGACACTCCCCCTTTGAGAGCGGAGTAATCCATACTTTTCTATGTAAGCTATATTTTCTATGTAAATGTATTGAGCTTTTCCTATAGCAAGCAATGCACAAAACTTTTACATGAATTATCCCATTTCTTCCTCTGAGTTAAGTGCTAACATTCCCATTTTCCAGATTAGGAAATAGAAGCTCTGATAAGTAAATTGCCATGGACACATAGGTTTCAGTGACAGATTGAAACTTGAGCTTGGTATAGTCTGTTTCCAGAGCCTATGCTTTTAACAAGTGTGTGGTATTGCCTTTTTACACCTGGATTTGGTTACAAGATTTAGAGGCAGGCAACAAAAGAAATAAATCCTCAGGAAAACCTATGCTCATTGTGTCTCATTTTTGATAAATGACAACCTCATGGTTTCTATGTGTTCACACAATGTCACTGCATGAACCCGAATGCAGAACAGTGAATTTTAGTAAGAAAAACAGAGGAACAGTAGATAGAATACCTTCTTGGACTCAATAACTATTCTAATTACTTACTGTCATAGTTACCTAGTATTGCTTTAACAGAAATACCGCAAATAGATATCTTTAACAAATTTAGTATCTCACAGTTTAAAAGTCTAGTAGTCCAAATTTAGAGTGCTCATACTAGGGGGAAATCTTCTCTCTTTGCTGGCTCTGGAGAAAGGTCCTTGTCACCTTCCAGGGTCTGTAGGCCCATCATTCCTTTGAGATCTTCATGCGTCTTGGCATCAATCTTCCTCTGGCTCTTGAAGCTTCACTGTGTGGGGGCCCCAGTCTAAAGAATGCACTCCAGTCCCAATTCTTCTTCCTTGGTGGTAGAAGTTTCCTCTGTCTCCTGTAAGATAAAAGGTGTTGCAGGCTATATTTCTGAAGAAATATCCTTTCAATTGACTGGCTGCTCATAGCAGATCTCATTATATCTAAGCTGCCTGTCCCTATCTACCATGTGTACAAAGGGGATAACATTGATACTAGATGTGAAGACTCCTTCCCACTCTGTTGGTATTTAGAGTTACTACCTCCATGGGTATGTTGTTGTTGTTGTTAAGTACTGTGGAGTCGGTTCCAACTCATAGTGACCCTGCACAGGGTTTCCAAGGCTGTAAATCTTTACGGGAGCAGAACGCCTCATCTTTCTCCCACGGAACCACTGGTAGTTTCGAACTGCTGACCTTGAGGTTGGCAGCCCATCTCGTAACCACTATGCTACCAGAGCTTCTACCTCCATGAGTATGTTGTTGTTGTTGTTAAGTGGCATCGAGTCGGTTCCGACCCATAGCGACCCTGTGCAGGATTTCCGAGGGTGTAAATCTTTATGGGAGTAGAAAGCCTCATCTTTCTCCCGCAGAGCGGCTGGTAGTTTCGAACCGCTGACCTTAAGGCTTGCAGCCCTATTCGTAACCACTACGCTACCAGAGCTCCTTTTTCCATGAGTATAAGTAGCATTATATTAACTCTCATCATGGGAATTACAAATATTAAAAGCTAAACCACTGAGAATCCTGGCCTGGTCAAGTTGTGAGAAATAACTCTTGTGGGTGTGGTCCATTTTCAGTGAAGGAATCAGGGAAGTCTTGGGGGTAGCAGGCTATGATAACAAAAGGAGGTAAAAAACTAGTTTGACAGGCTAAGAACTTTAAACTAAGAATACAACCATCAAGGAAATAGGGAAAGTTCATGGGGGAAGGGGGAAACTAAATGAGAATACTCCCAGGCAGGACTAGTAGTCAACTTTGAAAGGAGAATGTAACCTTGTAATACCCAGTGGAAGGAGAACTGGAGGAGGGGCTTTTTACGGGACAGGAGAATAAAACTGTTTGTGGGCCAGCCATGCGGCACATCTCTGCCCATGTCTACTGGGTTGGGCACCTGATTTTGCAAAACCAAATAAAGAAAACCTCACTCTTGCTAAAATGAGTACAGATTGGATTACTTGGGCATTTGTCAGTATGAACCAAGTTTCTCACAAAGTTGACATAAAAACTTAATGGTCACACTTACACAGAGGATAATAGTGAGGAAGGGGTTGAATCGGTGCAAAGAGAACTTGGAACTCTTGGCCCAGCTTCACACTTACCTGTCTTTTCCATCTGGGTCAAAGTGTGTGCACTCAGATTGACTGCATGGGTATGTGTGTGTGCACATGTGGAATATTTTTGTCTGTTGCAGGAAACAACAGAGCTTTCATGACCAGTCTAAGCTCATATCAGTGTCCCTATTAACATAGCAAGGATCTTCATTCATTTTGACCTATGTGCCAATCACAAAACACTGTGATTTCTAATCACCAATTGATCTACTGCTTCAAAAACATTGTATTTTCTATGGGTTGTTCTACTGTGAGTGTGATTATATTTCAGGCCATGTTTTCTTTATGCCTTTTCCTTTCTGACTCATCTCACTGTGTAAATGGAGGAAATATTTAAATATGGTCTCTGTTGACAAGAAGCACATCTGGATTAATAGCTCATGCTTTTCTTTTTATCCCCTTTCTGTCTTTCAGCTCCAAGGCTCCCTGAAAAGGAAACAAGTAGTCAACCTGACTCCTGCCAACAGCAAGAGGCCCAATGGCTTTGTTGATAACTCATTCCTTGATATCAAGAGAATCCGCGTTGGGGAGAACTTATCCACAGGACAAGGAGGCCTCCAAGTAAATAATGGACAAAGTCAAATTATGTCAGGGACCTTGCCTATGAATCAAGCACCCCTGAGAAAGACTAACACTCTGTCACACAATACACATTCTCCTGGTAATGGTATGTTTAACATGGGCTTAAAGGAGGTAAAGAAGGAGCCAGGAGAGACTCTGTCTTGCAGTAAGCATATGGAAGTCCAGATAACCCAGGAGACCACTTTTTCTAATAGGTATGGAGATGACCCTGGAGAGCAACTGATGGACCCTGAGCTGCAAGAACTGTTCAATGAGCTGACCAACATATCTGTGCCTCCCATGAGTGATCTTGAGCTAGAGAATATGATCAACGCCACCATAAAGCAGGATGACCCATTTAACATTGACTTGGGTCAGCAAAGCCAGAGGAGCACTCCCAGATCCTCCCTGCCTATGGAGAAGATAGTGATCAAAAGTGAATACTCACCTGGCCTGACTCAGGGCCCCTCGGGGTCACCTCAGTTGAGGCCCCCATCAGCTGGTCCTGCATTCTCCATGGCCAGCTCTGCCCTCTCCACTTCATCCCCGATCCCTTCTGTCTCTCAAAGCCAGGCTCAGCCTCAGACAGTCTCAGGAGCCAGCCGGGCTTTGCCCAGCTGGCAGGAAGTATCCCATGCACAACAGCTCAAACAGATAGCTGCCAATCGTCAGCAACATGCCCGGATGCAACAGCACCAGCAGCATCAACCTACCAACTGGTCAGCCTTGCCGTCTTCTGCTGGGCCGTCCCCAGGTCCATTTGGGCAGGAAAAAATCCCCAGCCCTTCTTTTGGTCAGCAGTCATTCAGCCCTCAGAGCTCTCCCATGCCGGGGGTCGCTGGCAGCAGTAGCCAGTCAAAAGTAATGGCTAACTACATGTATAAGGCCAGTCCCTCAGCTCAGGGTGGGCACCTAGATGTGCTCATGCAGCAAAAGCCTCAGGATCTCAGCCGAAGTTTTATGAACAATCCACACTCAGCCATGGATGCCCGTCTCAGCAACACCAAGCCTCTGTTTCATTTTAACTCAGATCAAGCAAACCAACAGATGCCTTCTGTTTTGCCACCCCAGAACAAGCCTTCTCTCTTACACTACACCCAGCAGCAGCAGCAGCAGCAACAACAACAACAACAACAACAACAGCAGCAGCAGCAGAGCTCAATTTCAGCCCAGCAGCAACAGCAACAACAACAACAACAACAACAACAACAGCAGCCACCACCTCCCCAGCCCACCCAACCTCTATCAAGCCAGCCTTTGCTAAGATCTCCCTTGCCACTTCAACAGAAGATTCTACTTCAGAAAATGCAGAATCAGGGCATCACAGGACTGGGGTATCAAGTCTCCCAACAACACAGACAGGTAAGACTTCTTCCTCTTTCAACCTAAGTTCCCAGAGACTATTTAGCTTCTTCATTATTCCTTGGTTGCCATTGTATTTGTGTTGGGATATAATCAAGACTAAAGCCCTTGATGGATTCGTATGAAGACCTCATAAAACCTGGTTCACTTAGGGCATCTGGAGGAAGGGGCTAATATTTCCTTATAGAACATTACTGTCAAAGGGATCTTGCATGAGCAAGGGCTCTTGCTTCTTAAGAATGTTGCATTCAAACTGATGCTTTTTGTGACATCAGTTAATAAGTTAATATGCACTTTCTATCACATGCCAGATGTTGTGATTATGCTGAATATTGGAGTAAGACCAGAGGTAATATTAAAAGTTTATAAAGACCCATGTTATATAACCTCCAACCAATTGGAATGTCTAAACTCCCAAGCCCATCAAATAGATCCTTCTATGAGTCTGTGCTGGTGCATGTAGTCTGAATATGGACCCTAAATAAGACACAGTCTCTATCTGTAAGTACTATCTGAAGAGGAAGGCAAGTTTTAAAAGCTGTCACTTTAATGTGGTGTGTAAAGTGTAACGCGATTTGACAAGAGGCAGAATATCTGGCCCAGAAAGAGGAAATTAAGGAAGGCTCATTGAAGAAGTAACATTTGAGTTAAGTGTTAAAGGATGAAATTATCATAATGACAAACACATAATCTGCAGTACACTATAGGTTGTGGGTATTATAAAGCAAAGATTTTCTTATGCCTCAAATATGAATAGTATGAAGAGATTTGCTCTGTGTCTTCAGAACTCATACTGATGAGTACTGTATCCCCTGAACTCCAGGAAATTTGAAAAAGGAAACTTTTCTAGGAGTAAAAGAAAAAAGAGAGGGAGGAAACAGGAAGAAGGAAGGAGGGAAAGAAAAGGGAAGGAGGAAAGTAAGGAAGAAAGAAGGAAGGGAGCTATTTAGTTTGTATATTGCTTTGTGCATGTAATTTGACAGGCCTACATTTGTATTCAAGCAGAAAGACAGGGCATTTACATGCCAAAACAACATGTCAAGGCACTATGGCAGCACAGAGCTTAATCCAGTGACATTCCTTGAGTCGTTTTCATAGCTACTACCCAGAAAAGAATGCCACAAGGTCCGCAGACTGTGTCTAAGCTGGCCTTTACTCTAGATGTGGGCCAAAAGAAAATTAGTCTCAACAAAGCTATGCTCCTAGTAAACCTTAAACCCTTAGCCACTTAGAAAGTGTTTTTTTATTTTTTGTTTTGTTTTTTGTTGTGTGTGTGTGTGTGTTTATTATGGGTTATGGAGAATGAACTTAGAATAGAGTCATGTGTATATTTTATAAAGTTTTGTGTGCTTTTTTAACACGGGTAATATGGAAATCATTTAAAAACAAACAGCATTGAAGAACTAGTTTATAATGTGATACATAGGTATTTTGATTTGGATGAAGATGGGTTCAGATTCCTACTCTGACATTCACTAGCTATATGACCTCAAGAAGTCACTGAATTTCTTTATACCTCAGTTTTCTTATCTGTAAATGGGAATGATGATAGTATCACCTCCTAGGGTTGTTTTGAGAATGAAATGAGATCATTCTTATCCCAAACAAAAATAAAGTTGGATATTTTTATGATTATCATGGAAAGAGCTATAAATAATACCAAAATGTTATTTTTAACAAGTGTTACTAATATGTAGGAGAGGTTTGGAGTGAGTCCCAAATTCAAACATAAACTGTGTTGAAGTAGGGGTGAGGATGAGAAATAGAAAAAGATCTAGCCCTAATTCTTCTACTAGCCAGCAGTATGATGAGTGGGTAGTGATTTACTTCCCTGGGCCTAGGCTCCTAGCCCATAAAAATGGAAATAATAAATGATGAGGGAATCCTGGGATGCTGCTGCAGGATAAGCACTGGATTGCTAAGAAACCACAAGGTCGGCTGTATAGACCCATACATTTCTCCTTGGAAGGTCTATACAGGATTGCCATGAGTCAGAATCAACTCAACAGCACTTAAAAGCAACAATAAGAGTTATCATTTATTGAGTACTCTGGTAGCGTAGTGGTTACGAATTGGGCTGTGAACCGCAAGGTCAGCAGTTTGAAACTACCAGCTGTTCCGCCGGAGAAAGATGAGGCTTTCTGCTCCCATAAAGATTTACAGCCTCGGAAACCCTGTATGGAGTCACTGTGAGTCGGAAACGACTCCATGGCACACAACAACAACAACACTATATCTGATATGACTTCTGACTCCTTTCCCTGTGGTATATCTGTTCATCCATGAGGAAATACCATTGTTCCCATATGACAGATGAGTGAATTAAGTCAGAAAGATGTTAAATAATTTTCCCAAGGTCACATAGATAGTAAGTAGCAGAGTCAGAATTCAGACCTGGTGGTCTACTTTGAAGCCTGTGCACAACCATTAGGATTTTGATATTTTTTGTGTGTGATAATATTTACTTTTCCCAGTGCTTATGATAGTTTTCATCTCTTCAAAAAGACCCTTAATAGTAGAAACAGTGGCAACATTCCAAGCTAGAAAAACCTTGTTTATATAATAGGTAAACAAAATCTCCTCATGGAATAGTTCATCCCAACTCTAAGAGAATAAATTGAACAGATTATTCCTTTGGGTTCTTCTGGCTCAGTGGTTTTATATATAAGGTATGGCTTTAAAGTCCTGTGTCTGAGTTTTTAAGCAAATGCATCATAACCCTTCAGTCAAATAAGGATGGCCCTCTTACAAGGATTCCGCTTGTGGGTGAAGGTAGGCTTGTGTTCTATTAGTGATGTTATTGTTGAATACAGTTTCAGAATTCTTCTTTGGGAATTGTCTTCAGAACCCATAGAATACTTGGTTGATTATTACTAAGTAAAATAATATTCATTCTTTTAGGTGATTTTTGAAAACAGTCAAGCTGGGTCATGTTGCTTTGAGTCAGTCACAAACAAGGAATAGCTATGATGCGATACGACTGAATTTCAGGTGTGGTTTGTGAACTTTCTCTAAAAGCAATAAAGAAAAATCAATGAACGGCTTCCCAAGATGATAATTTTGAGAAACAACTTTCATTTGGACATACATATTTCTCAGGTTTTTCCAAATTTTATGATCTCATTTAGTATATTGTCAGATATTCTCAACTCGGAGAGGGTGGTTTTGACGCTACCATTCATAGTAGACAGTACAAATATGTGTTCCATGCCAGAATATCTAAATGTGTGTTACTCATGGCTTAAATCAGAGAGCGATGAGGAGCAAAAGGAATTGGGAATTAAGCAGTGGCTACATTTATCATCTCTGGTAGCATAGTGGTTACTAATTGGGCTGCTAACCTCAAGGTCAGCAGTTCGAAACTACCAGCTGTACCGCAGGAGAAAGATGCAGCTCTCTGCTCCTGTAAAGATTTGCAGCCTTGGAACCCCAGTACAGGGTCGCTATGAGTCGGAACCAACTCCATGTCACACAACAACAACATATTTATCATCTAAAGAATAAGAAATAAAAGCACTAGCCATGGTTTGTTTGTTTATTTGTTTTCTTTGTTTTTTTCTGCTTGTCATACTCACAAACAGAAAGATTAACTATGGAGTTTGCTAATTGAAATGCTTTAGGCTTTGGAAATAGTGAAAATTTTCTTGACTGGCTCCTGCTGCAAAATGGCACATTGAATTTGAAGATCAGTTGCCTAAAATTTGCCAATGGAGACACAGTTAACTTCTCTTCACTTGTCAGAACACAGAACCAGACAGATCCATATGCTCAGTCAGAGAATGAATTTGGCCATGTTGGGAGGAGAGTGCTTCTACTCCCCTTTCCTTTTGCTCTATACTTACCTCTGTTCTCCCAGATGTAAATGGGTCATGAGGGATGTTGTTTTTAATAAGTGTCATCTAGTCAGTTCTATATAGAGTTTTTCAGGAGTGGCTGGTGGGTTTGAACTGCCAATCTTGGGGTTAGTAATCCAGTGTTTATCCTACAGCACCATACCAGGGCTCCTAGATACAGCATATTTGAATTGTTTGGAGACATCCTTTCTGTTACATGCCTGAGGTGATTTTAAGTAATCCTTTCTTTAGTGACTAGAAGAACAAATCTGGTGTTTGACAAAATGCCTAGAGTGACTGTTTTGCTAATGTTTGGGGTTTGGCTAGTGGCGATGCCTTCTGGCTGTAATTTCCTACCCTTCTTCCTGAGTTGAGGGTCAAAGGAGAGGGCTGGACAAGGATGCAACACTCTCATTTCTGATTTGTCTTCAGGTCATTGAACATTTGTCTAAGGTGTGAATAAATTATTGACTGTCCAGAGCTCATAAGAGTTCATCCCAAAAGTAGTTACCTCTATGAACCAGAAGTGATCTTCTTAGAGCTCTTTAATCAGACACTTAAGTGTGTGAAATGCTTTCTAACATCACATCCATGAAGTACATTCTATATTTGGTTTAGAATTCTCCCATCTCTAAAACTTCTGGGAGGGAAGGCAGCCAGCAAGTGAGTGGATGATTTGTTATGATTGAAACATAAATTTGTTTCATCCCCCCTTTAGTTTAAAGCCAAGCTCCTCCATCATGTACTGAGACCCTTTCCATAACTTTACCTCACCATCTCTATCTATGCAATATTATCCTTACCTACTCCCCATAACCCTTGGCTTAACCTCAGGCAAGCCTCCTAATGTCCTCCTCCCTCTAGCCTCCCACTTTTCATTTCAGTTCATATGTTCAAGGTTTTAATCATGCTATTTCTACTTCTTAGGAGCTCTGGTAGTGTAATGGTTATGAATCAGGCTGCGAACCACAAGGTCAGTAGTTCAAAACTACCAGCTGTTCTGCGGAAGAAAGATGAGGCTTTCTGCTCCCGTAAAGATTTACAGCCTCAGAAACCCTGTACAGGGTCGCTATGAGTCGGAACCGACTCCATAGCACATAATAACAACAACAACAACAATTCCTACTTCTTGTATTAAGGTTGCTTGTTGCTAAGTACTGTTGAGTC